GGGACTCGATCCCGGGACTCCAGGATCATGGCCTGGGCCGAAGGCAGTCGCTTAACCAACTGAGCCACCCAGGCGCCCCCTTCTAGGTTCTTGACTGAGACCTCCCCCCCTCCCGACAATGTAATAAAAGACCAGTTAACAGGAGAAAAACAAATGGAGGTTTAATAGTATGTATACCTCCTGCAGACATGGGAGAGACCCAGGAAAATTGAGTAACTCCCTGAAGGCCCAAGCCACCACCTTAAATACCATCTCTAGCCTAGAGACAAAAGGAAGACATTGGGTGGTAGGGGTAGGGTAGGGCCGAAGGCCAGTTATGGGAGGGGACCAGGAAAAGCATGGTAATCAAGGGTAAGGTCATTTTGAAGGTTGGGGTCAGTGTCTTCTCCATTGATAAGAGTGTCTAGAGTTTGAGTCATCCTTCTTTTCCTGGTATGGGGGGTGGGGCATTCTTACAAATGGAGATTTCCCTTAGAATTGTAAATGTCTCCTACAAAAGGGTAACTTCTCACTTTTCAGTGCTTTTCCTATGTCTATTGTTTCTTAAAAAAATAATCAGCCTAAAATAACCCTTATGCCAAAGAGACATATTTCAGGGTGGCAAATTCTGCTCCCCTTCAAAATCAAAGGGAGGCTTGGAGACTGGGCATGGCAATATTGGTAGGGTTGCTAGATAGAATGCAGGAGGCCCAGTTAAATTTGAATTTCAGATAAACAATGAATAATGTTTTTATATAAGTATATCCTAAATATTGCATGGAACATACTTACACAAAAACATTTTTCGCTGTTTATCTGAAATTCAAATTTAACTGGGCTTCCTGTGTTTTTATTTGCTAAATCTGGCAGTGCTGGGTATTGATTAACCCACCCTTCCCCGTGGGAGGCAAACCAGATGGCATTTATGTACTTGGTCCCATTCATGGAATACATTTTTGTTTGTGTTGGGTTAAAAGCTTCTAAGACTGGCTGCTATATCATATTGATGTTGAAGGGTTGAAAAATTGAGTCTTGTTCTAGAGGTTAAGAGGAAATGTTCTAGAGGCAAAAAAAAGGCCTAAGAAAGGCTTTTTCCATCTTGCCCCCAAACACTCCTTCACTCTCTATCCCTCTCCCTCTCCCCCACTGTATCTCTCTCTCTCTCTCTCTCTCTCTCACACACACACACACAAACAAATGTCCACACACCTAGATGCCTGTGCAAACAGAAACACGTTTGGAAAACCACCTGCTTGCCTTTTTAAGTTTTTATATTGCATTTTTCATGTTAGAGTTTGGTTATTTATTATTACTATTATCATTTTACTGTTGTTATTGAAGTAACATTGTCTAACCGTGTCCAGTACTGCTCTTGATAACCATACTTAACTCTTTTTTAATTGCAGATCTTTCTCCTGGCCTGCCCTCCATGTCCTGGGGCTATCGTCGTCTTCAAGTAAGGGAAAATTGGTTTTTGCTCTGTTGCCATTGCTATTCCGAATGTTCTGTCTTTGTGATAACCAAGGGTGATGAGCACATTGATGTGAACATCTTGGGCCTGCCCCCGCTTTGTCTCTGGGCTTCCCAAGGAACAAAAGTCTATGAGGCCCAGTGAAACATGGGGATATTATATGCAGAGATTTGGCTTTGGTCAAGCCCTGACAAGTCCTTTTTAGTGAGTGTTTGTGGTGGTGGTTTATGGCCAAGTCCTGCTCCCTTGGAAGGTTGCTGGCTTCCTGCAGTTTCTCTCGAGAGCATGCTGGGGGCCACGCGGCTTCCCTCCTCTCAAGAATCATTGCCCTGTGGCCCTGCTGCTTCCCTGAGGAGCTGATTCTTCACTTTGAAGACCTTTGTTCTTATGTTTCCGTGTTTTTTTTTTTTTTCCCTTAAAGTGCAAATTAAAGTGAGGGGAAGAAAAAAAATCACCTTTACAAGTCCTGGCTTTCTTTTTTTAAAAAAAGATTTTATTTATTTATTTGAGAGAGAGAGAGTGAGAGAGAGAGCGCAAGAGGGGGTAGGGTTAGAGGGAGAACCAGACTCCCCGCCGAGCAGGGAGCCCGATGTGGGACTCGATCCCGGGACTCCGGGATCATGACCTGAGCCGAAGGCAGTCGCTTAACCAACTGAGCCACCCAGGCGCCCTACAAGTCCTGACTTTCTTAAAAATAGCAAGCATCAAATCCATTAAAGTGTACTGCAGGCAAATCATGTTTATCTGAAGGCAAGTTTGCTTAAAGGAAATTCTCAAGAGTCCCAGAACCCTCCTTTTAACCACAAGTTGTGACCATCTCGCTTATCAAGCCTTTTTATTGGAGTTGCTAATGAGCAGCTAAATTGACCAAATTAATTCCATCTCTTTCCCCCTTCCCCGGCCCCCATTTTAGAGCTGTTCCTGAGCAGAGGAGACAGGAAGTGAGGGGCCCAGCAGATCCTTGGGTAATCGAAGAGTGGTGTAAATGGCTTTCTGATTTACTTAAGTCATTAAAGTGTTAGATAGGGGGAAATATACCCCATTTGCTGCTTCTAACAGCTCCTTGGAATAGCCACTTAGTCTCTTGCCTTAGGTGAGTAACTTTCTGCTGGATGAGGGCAAATGGATCCTGATTTCACATATCTTGTACTTGAAAAGCTCCTAAGCAGAAGGCTATTTAACCGTTTCCCTCCCTTCACTTCCCAAAATGAGCTCTATTTTTCAGTGTAATGTTTTAAAGTAACATTTATTGGTTTTATTTCATAATTATTAAAGAAACAATTCTCATTAGAGGAAATACAGAGACACACAAAAAAGAAAATAAACATCACCCTTAATCTACCACCAAGAAATAATTTTGGTTACTGCTTTTTTTTTTAAGAAGCAGAGATCATATTTAGGATTCTTACTGTATCTTTTCTAAATTTAACTCAATTTGTATATATGTGTATGCATATGAAAATACATAAACATGACTGCGAAATTTCTTTTTTTTTTTAGTGTTTTTTTTCTTTTGTCCTTGTTTTGTTTGACTCCTACCTCTGCCTTTCCACACCTGCAGGTTACCAAACCAGTATGTATCCTTCCAGATTTTTCTCCACGCTCATTAGGTGTACACACACGCACAGGGATTTTGGAATGTTTTACTGTTGTTGTTCACTGCTTGTTTTACAAAAATAGAATCTTATATATACTGCAATACATCTTGCTTTTTCACTCAACAATATCTCACGGGGATCTATCAAAGTTTATTGGTATACCTTATATTCCTTTACAAAGCTGCAAAATATTTCATGGATGCACAACTTAGCCATTCTTCTCATTCCTTTTTAAGGTTTTATTTTTAAGTAATCTCTCTGCTCAACATGGGGCCCGAACCTCCGACCCTGAGATCAAGAGTCCTGTGGTCCACTGGCTGAGCCAGCCAGGTTTTCCTAGCTCTTCTTCTATTCGTGAATGTTTATATTCATGCTTTCCATATTGCTGCCACTATAATCAATGCTGAAATCAACATCATTGGGCATATGCCCTTAAATACTGGTGCTTTCAATTTATACATACACACACACGAATGTTTACATATAAATATACATATTTATGTTAATAGATATTTCCATACTGATATACAAAAATAGGCTGTTACAATTCACTTTCCCCGTTTGTATGTAATATATGAGATTATTCTTTTCTTCATATCCATACCAGCATAAGGTGTTATGATTCTTTTATAATTTTTGACAACTTAATGGATACATTTCCTTGGCTACTAATGAATTTCAGTATTTTTTTATCCAATTAAATTTGTTTTTTGAATTGTCTGTTCATACCATCTGCCCCTTTCTTATGGGTTGCTTAGGTTTTCTTAATTTGTAAGACTTCTTTGTATATTTTGGATATTGGCCCTTTGTCTGTCGGCATTATTATAGATATTTTTCCCAAATCTGTATGTGCTGACTTGGCTGATGGTATATTTTTCTATGTGTTTTTTTTACATTTTTTCATATTCAAATATGATTACTTTCTTACAGCTTCTGGGTTCCCAGTTTTAGTTAAGATGATTTTCTTAAAGATGGCTAACTAGTTGTGCTAGCATGATATATTACATAATCCCTACTTTCCCCTGTGAACTGAACTACCATTTTTGTCACCTATTAAACTTTTTATATATGAGGATCCATGCAAGGATTCTCTATTCTGTTCCATCTGTTTGTCTGTTTGTGTACTCAAATCATGTTGATTTGATTACATTAGCTTAAAAAATATTTTTCTTGTCTATTCATCGGCATTTTTTTTCTTACATGTAAATTTGAAGATCACTTTTATTCAACCCTCCCCACCAGCCCTATTTGAATTCTAATTAGAATTGCATTAAATGTATATTTCAGTTTTTGTGAGAACTGATGTTTTAAAATCATGTAGCTCTTTTAATCCAAGAAATGGTATTTTTTTCCATCTGTTCAGATCTCGTTTTATGCCTTTCTTGATACATTTATTCCTGAGGAATTAATAGCTTTTCTGTCCGAGTTGAATATTGCTCACCTTTCCATTCCTAAGTGCTTCTTGCTAGACTAGAAAAAGGTTATTGATTTTAACAGTAGTCCTCATATCTAGCCATCTTCTCTTGTTAGTTTTGGTAAAATTTATTTTTATTTTATTCCATCTTTCCGATGGTTACACCAGTAATTTTCTTCGGTTTTTTTCTTTTGCTTGAAACTCAGAGTGAAATAAAAATGGAGCTGGTGGGCCACTGTGTCTAAACGGATTTTAAATGGAGATTGTTTCTCCATATTTGCTGTTGGTGTTGGTTAAATAGCCCTATTACATGTGAAGAGTTTCCAAATGTACTTAGAGATATTTTCAAAGAAAATGGTTCCTGCATTTTATCAAATGCTTTTTCATGTCTGTTGAGTATGGGTTTTTTTTTTTTTTTTTTTTTTCTGTTTAAGTTTTTGATACAGTGAGTTATGTGGATAAATTTTCTGGTTTCGAATTACTCTTATATACTGACGTAAGTCCTGCTGGTCACAGTATATTATTTTGATGCATTGCTGGATTCCATTTGTCAATCCTTTGTTTAGAACCCTTGCTTCAAAATTCATATGTGAGATGGGAGTCATTTTTTGGGATTCTTTTCATCAGGTGTAAGGATTAAAATGGAATTGCAGAGCACTTCTTTCTTTTTCTCTGGCCTGGAATAATTTAATTACCCTTAGAAATTACATGTTAATTTTTTTTACCTTTTTAAAAATTATTTTTCTTTCCTTTCTTTTGTTGTTGTTGTTGTTTTTAGAAATTATGTGTTTTTTTTTTTTTTTTTTTAAAGGTCAGGTAAAACTCAACTGTGAAGCTCCTCTGGTCCTAGTGCCTTTTTCAGTTGGTATACCCTTAACCACCTTTCCAGTGTCTTCTATGGTAATTCATCTATTCAGATCCTTGGGTCAATTTTGGTCATTTATCATTTACTGGGGAGTTACGTGTTTCTTCTGAGTTTTCAGATTTGTTGCCATGAATTCAGTGGAACATGTAGTAGTCTCTTATTTTATAATTTTAAAAACTCTCTCCTCATCTGTAGTCATGTCTTCTTTCTTGGGTTTAATCTTGTCTGTTTTTGTGTTTTCATTATTTATAGTTTTAGTCAGGTTAGTAAGTACTTGATCTATTTTTGGTTGCTTTATAGAACCTGGTTTTGGAGATATATATATATAGTTATATATCTACACGGTCAAAAGGTGTGTATTTATTCCTTTCCCTTTTGCCTTCTTTAATCCTCATTTTCTATTCTGCTTTATTTACTTAATATCATGTTTTCCCCCATTTTATTACAAACTCATCATCCACATCATTTTAAAATTAAACTTTCTATATTTTGAGATAATTATATAATATAATGAATATGATATCATAATACAGATGCAGTTGTAAGAAGACTACAGAGAGATCCTATGTACCCTTCACTTAGTTTCCTCCAGTAGTAACTTTTGCAAAACTGTACTAAAATGTGACAACCAGGATATTGACATTGGCACTGTCAAGGTATAGAACAGTTCCATCACCATGAGGGTCTTCCCTGTTGCCCTTTTATTTTTAAAAAAAAATTTTTAAAGATTTATTTATGAGAGAGAGAGAGAGAGTGAGCATGAGCAGGAGGGGCAGAGGGAGAGAGAATCTTAAGCAGACTCTGTGCTGAGTGTGGAGCCCAACGTGGGGCTCGATCTCATGACCCTGAGATCACGACCTGAGCTGAAACCAAGAGTTGCATGTTTAACTGACTGCGCCACCCAGGCGCCCCTCCTGTTGCCCTTTTAGAGCCACTCTCATTACTCTCCCACCTGTATCCTGTCCCTGACCCCTGACAACTCATCTGTTCTCCATGTTTGAACCTTTGTTATTTCAAGAATGCTATATAAATGGAATCATACAGTATGTTACCTTTGGGATTGGCCTTTTTTTTTAACTTATAATTCCTTGCAGATCCATCCAAGTTT